TGGACGAACTGATTTATTTTTCATTTAAATAAATTGAATAATTTTTTTTAAATCATAGAATCATGATGAAATTATCAATAATTTCAAACAATCTCAGTTTTGCCCTACTTAGCCAGAGGTTTCATATCAGAATTATCCTGTCTATTCTCTACTTTACTCATTTACATTCCTCTTTCCAAAATGAATCCTGTGGCAAAGAATAGAAAGGAAGTTCAGTGGGGGAAATCCAAGTAACCTCTTTGTGCAAAAAGCAACAAGAACATCAACAAAAAGAAGGACAAAAACCATATGATCATCTCCATAGACGCTGAAAAAGCATTCGAGAAAATTCAACATCCATTCATTACAAAAACTCTCAACAAAATGGGTAGAGAGGGCAAGTACCTCAACATAATGAAGGCCGTAAACAACAAACCTACAGCCAACATCATACTTAACGGAGAGAAGTTGAAAACTTTTCCTCTAAGATCGGGAACAAGACAGGGATGCCCACTCTCCCACTGTTATTCAACATAGTACTGGAGGTCCTAGCCACAGCAATCAGACAGAACAAAGAAATAAGGCATCCAGATTGGTAAAGAAGAAGTCAAACTGTCACTATTTCCAGATGACATGATATTGTACATAAAAACCCTAAAGACTCCACTCCAAAACTACTAGAACTAATATCTGAATTCAGCAAAGTGGCAGGATACAAAATTAATACATAGAAATCTGTTGCTTTCCTGTATACTAACGATGAACTAGCAGAAAGAGAAATTAGGAAAACAATTCCATTCACAATTGCATCAAAGAGAATAAAATACCTAGGAATAAACCTAACCAAGGAAGTGAAAGACCTATACCCTGAAAAGTACAAGACACTCCTAAGAGAAATTAAAGAGTGCACTAACAAATGGAAACTCATCCCATGCTCTTGGCTAGTAAGAATTAATATTGTCAAAATAGCCATCCTGCCTAAAGCAATCTACAGATTCAATGAAATCCCTATCAAAATACCAACAGCATTCTTCAATGAACTGGAACAAATAGTTTTAAAATTCATATGGAGTCACCAAAGACTCTGAATAGCCAAAGCAACCCTGAGAAGGAAGAATAAAGCAGGGGGATCTCGCTTCCCAACTTCAAGCTCTACTATAAAGACACAGTAAGCAAGACAATTTGGTACTGGCACAAGAACAGAGCCACAGACCAGTGGAACAGAATAGAGAGTCCAGATATTAACCTAAACATATATGGTCAATTAATATACAATAAAGGAGCCATGGACATACAATGGGGAAATGACAGCCTCTTCAACAGCTGGTGTTGGCAAAACTGGACAGCTACATGCAAGAGAATGAAACTGGATCATTGTCTAACCCCAGAACA